ATCGCGATTTCTTTTACTCTTTTCTAAAGAGCTGAGAGATGGGTAAAAGTCGACCACATCGGTTAAATCCGGAGGTGCGAAAACACTGGTAGCGAGGAATGAAAGATTCAGGAAGTCCGCAGGCGCTGGATTAATTCAATATTTTGCAATGCTAACGTGTCGCTACCTTGTAAATCTTCAATGAAAACTACGACGACATGCCGGAGAGATGGAGGAACTTTAGACATTTATTTTTGAAAGAGACATCCCCTGCACTCGAGAGAGAAAACAGGAGGTGCCGTGGTCGTAACACCAGGCGAAAAGCACATGTGCAGCACTAGATTCTCCGACAATCCTGTTGCAGATCTACTGCAGATTGCGGCGCAACTCCAAAGATTAAGAAAGTTAAGGACATTAAGAAATAGTTTCACCCATATATATCACGATTTTACACATGACATTAACTAACTTATTTATTCATTTTCTTTAGGAAAAGATGTCAATATTGAATTGCGTATTTATAGCGGAAAAAAATTAAGATAGCGTTCGAAGTAACATAATAACACAATCAAATAAAATAATATAGTAACAAGATACAATGATTTCTTAGATAAGTTCAAGCTGCTTTAATGCTAGAGACCACTTTTTATTCTTGATATTTTTATAGTTTTAATAATACCGACGTGAATTTCGACCCGTCTTTTTGTAAAGAATTGCCTCGGCATTCTTTCGAAATTCTTCGAATCTATATGATATTAGTCTATTCAAGATCTCCCTTTGTAAAACGTTACGCAACTGTCGCGTCATCGTCGTAAACGTCGTCGTGCCTTTAGTCCAATTTGCGTCAACTATGCGGCGTAATTTAATTCAAGGAGCAATTTAAAAAGTTTCGCCCGATGGCATAAAGCGAAACGAGTCGGAAAAGAAGGCGATCCACCACCATCACCACCACCCGACAGCGCGACTTTAAAGTAATGAGTGGCCGTTGGAATTTCCTCCCTCGCGTCGCTGACCCTATGCTAGCCAAATCGGAAAGATTTCTTCCGAAAATTATGAAGTTGTTTTCCCGGAAACTCCGCCGCGCTTTTGCGTGTTTTTCACTCCCGGAAAAGCGACGCCTGGAAGAGAGGAGCGGAAACGGGGGCGAGGGTGGCACGCGTCGCGTCGACCAGAAATTTACGAGCCGGCTACGACTTCTTTGGAACACGCCCCGGGGGTAAATTATTTCCCCCCTGAGTGCCACCATTGCTTCTAGATGTTGCATCGGTATACATATATATACATGTATACAAAATCCCGAAAAGTCTCCTTCTACGTCTCGATCTGAAGGGGTAACTTACGATAACTGCTCCACAAATGCAATCTGCGATTGCCTTTTCGAACCGAGCTTGCTTATATCGTCACGTTTTATTCTGTCTTCTAATCCGCTTAATTGAATTATTTTTCTTAACATAAATGTGTCTGGGTCCTGTACACGATTATACAATTTAGACCGCTCGGCATTTTGCGTTTATAATATCTACTTCGTACGCGAGTTTCGGCGAATTACATCTGCATTTTAACGTGAAATTTGCTCGATAAATTTCTACGCTCGCAAAATAATGAAGGTTGAAAATTAGATGCTATCTTAATAACTCTTTACAAGAGATACTTGTTTTATATATTAAAAATTTTTATCAAGAACGTAACTATAAATATCGAGATTAAAATCTGAAGGATGTTTTCTGCTAGTTATATTAATCGCTGGAAAATTGAACAACGTTTTACTTGATTAAACGATCTAAAGAATCTGTTTATATGCTGATACACTTTGCTCCCAAGCTTTACTAACTTATATTAACGATAAAATTACAGCAGATTAATTAAACCGGCTGTGCGGCATTTTCATTTTCAGGAGACTAATTTTCTTTTGTAGTAATAATGCGATTTACCGTTCATTAAGAGTTCAAAAAAATTTAATTTTTTATTAAAATTATAAGTTATTAATTATTCGACATTAAATATACTTCATTGCATGTTATTACGTTATTTAAATATAACGCAAATTGAATATTATATTATCTAAACATTCATATCAAATATTCTTATCTAAATATATAGTCAAGCAATGAAAAGAACATTCCGTAAATAAATTCGTACAGTTTTGAACTCACGTGAGCGCTTAAACTTGAAAAGGTTAACAAATTTTAATCAAGTGGTATTATCGATTAACTCTAACCGATATAAGACATTGGATATAACGTATTAACGAAGCCAGCAACGTGCGTAGAAAATGAAAAAGCGGCGATAACGGTAGAGAGAGAGAAGCTCTCGCCGATCTCGCCTCAATAATGCTATTCACTATACCTAATACCTAATACGACGCAATATCGAAGCACTACGACAGGCATGTCAATTTTATCGTACCATAAATCCGTATTAATTAAACTTAATTCAATCTTCTCTCGTTTCCAGACGAGACAGGAAAGTTTTCTGTCGCGGAACTAGGGTGAACTTTTAAGGTACGAAGTTCGTGAGATATAATTAACGAATCTGCCGGTGCCGTGTACAAAATTTCCAAGTTTCGATATCATCCCCGTCACGTAGACGGCCTTTCATCGTTTCGCGATTGGGAACTGTGTGTGCCCATCGCGATCGATACTTCTGAATTTCGCTTTCGGATTCTTCGCGTGACGTGTGCCCGCGCGATACGCTCGATTGTTAGCCAAGAACAAAAGAGCCGCATCGGGGATGGTTCGTTATGACAGTTCGTTAGTCTCGTAAATTGGCTAACTCGCCGTTAATGGGCGGTTACCAATTATCGAATCGATTACATCGGTAAATTATCCGGTATTCATTAGTTAACTCGAATTTTCTGCTGCGCGCGCGTACGGTCAGGAACGGCCGTCGAGGCAAGTCGACACAATCCATTAATGCGAAAATAAAGTCAGTTACGGCGCGCACAATATCCAATAATGTCCATCTAATTATAAAACTATTACATTGGGCGGATTATTCTTGGATGGCCTTTTTAACCCTCTTGGCTCGCCGTGTCGTTGCACCACGCATCGGAGTCATTTATCTTCATTGCTACGCGAAACTAGTAAATTGTGCATTAACAACATAAGTGCTAGGCTGATACTAACTACCAGGGAAGAATTATCTAGTAGAATACAATAAGATAGTAAGTATAAGTATCGAAGAATTAGAATAAATTCATATGTGCAAATATCTATTTTTCAACATATCTCTATAGCATTGAAGTTATTATCATTTATCGAATTTTTATTTTCTGCGCTTTAGTGTAGTATAATCAAAAACACTTGTAAATAAAATATTAAATAAATCATAATATCTCCAATAAATACGAAAAAGTATGTTACAAAATATTCATATACGGACAGAATTAGGACATTCAAAACTGGCAATTTTGGCATGCTAACATATTCATGTTCATATACGATTATCATTGGTCTTGAATGTTAAACACAAATAGGAGATATCTAACTATCGTTGATATTGATCCGCATGAACCTGACGAGTTTTCCAGATATCTCTACATGTATCCGAAATTATATATGTATGTACGTACGTACGTACGTATGTATGTATGTATGTATGTATGTATGTATGTATGTATGTATGTATGTATGTATGTATGTATGTATAATTTAAAGTTTATTTAAAATTATTTAACAAATATTCATATATTCGAATATTGTATGTGTAAGAAAAAAGAACCGAAAAAACAATGTTGGATAGTTAATAATGCATCAAATATAATATTTACCATTTATCGTCAAATTTGATTATTGATTGATTGATCACTTCGTCATAACGGTTATTAACAATTAAACTAAACGAATATATGTGATTTATCTGGAATTAAATTTTAGCCTCGATATGTTATAAATAACCAATTATTCAATGTTCGTTGAATATTTATTATTTTCATTGCGACTTTATGAATAAAATATGTTTTCTATTGTCCAAAATTTACCAAAAAATAAAAATCGGACATGGACTTATCATTGGCAGATAGCGTATTTCTTTTCTTTTTTTGAATTGAAGTGCATTTCCAATAAATTTGATATCCGCGCTACCTCTTTACGATGTGACAGGATATGAGAGGAATCTATCGGTACGATCGAGAGAAGCCTCGGCGGTTTATTCCCGCAATAAAATCATTTTATCGCGTTTAGAACAGAAGTATGGCATGCCGATCGTTTTTTTAACGATTGGAAAAATACATAAGATATAAAAATTTCGATAAAATTAAAATGCGACGAGCGAGATAGCCTGATGTAGCCGAGATATAATTTCTAAAGAAATGCAATAAATTTTTTGAATATTTCCGTGTAAAGAAAATGTGTATCATACATGTGTACTTGTTTTATTATTCGTAGAGTATTGTTGATGCGGCATAAATGGAATTTCGATATAAAGTGTCTCAGTTTTATCGTTTAACAATACCGGCAGCCTCCATATCGAACTATTTCTTTTATCGATATTCCATTTTACTTTTATTTACTATGAATCTCACTTTAAACATTCGATACACCATTGAATTGAAATTGTCAAAATATACGTTGACGGCTATATCTCAGGCAAGTGGTATTATGTCTAAATATTTGCTCCAGCAGGAAAAGTGAGAGAAAGACCGCATGAAATATCAGTTACCAATGAAATGGTATAAGAAAGTAAATTAAAAAGAAAAATTTATTTCATTCTAAAGAATACGTTCTCTTCGATATGGTGCTTATACTTCATATATAAGCCTCTTTATACATAAAGAATAATGCGTATCTAGGTACAAAAGTTTCACATTACTCCATTCAATTCTTAAATAAAGAGATTTAGAAATTATTAGTAGTGCATAAATTAATAAAAAAAATTAATATTATATTAATTCATCTATTTTGATTTTTATAGAGAAAATAAAGCGGCCAATCTTTATATAAGTAATGTAGATTTTTTTAAATTTTTGTAAAATTTGAATATCTAGTAATATTAAATACGAAAAATTATTGGTATGCTTTCAGGTACAAAGTGGAAGTGACCGGCAAGTCTTTACCTGTGTTGACGAATCTTGATAAAGGTCGATATGGGGTACTGATTTTCGAGAATCTAAACAAGTATCTGCAGATGGACAAATGGAATCGTGAATTATTGGATAAATACTGCAGAGAATATTCAGTTGGCATTGTGGGTTTTGCTCCTCCTGGAGAAGAGAGCCTAGTCGGTGCTCAACTCAAGGGCTTTCCACTTTTTATACATACAAATCTCAGATTGAAGGTCAGTTTCTAGCACATTACATATTCAAATTCTTCAATATATATATTCTAACAAGATGTTACAATATACAATATATTCTCAAAGATATTATAATATACAAAAATGAATTGATTTTTATAAGTATATTTTTAAATTATTAAATCTTGTATAAATTTTATTTTTACATCATATTTTTTTGTATATATACTTCTTTAATATAATAGTATATATGTTTATTTATTTATTTACTTATTTAACTGTCGCAAGATTAGAATCGATATTACTTGTAGATAAGAATAAATAATGGTAATTTATTCTAATTTCATTATTATTAAAAACGAAATATAAGGATTGTGAAATGTAGGGATAATCACAATATTCTTTCATTATGTAATGAAAAGTATCTTTTTTTATTTCACAATATCAGAAATTACTTAAGAAAGCTATGATGATGGGAAAAGTCTGGGTGGCAATCTTCATGGCTGCAATCAAGTTTATATATCGCGGAAACTGGTCTCGAAACGAAAAGGAAACCTCGTAAAAGAATAATAAAAAGCGCGGGTTCCATAGTATTAGGTCTGGCTGCAGTAATAAGGCAATCGATTGTACGTTGTTCCTGAAAAGCACTATTACGCCAAATACTTTCAAGCTAATTTATATGCGCGCTATAACGTATTCCTGAATCATTTTAATAATTAAGTATTATTAGATACTTAATTTTATGATATCAACCTTCCTTTTACTTCCTTATTACTATAATGTTCGCAACGTAAAGTAAGTTACAATCTTCTTAGAACTTTGGAATACCGTGCCTTGGACACGTGGCACATCTCCTGAGTAACGATCATGCTTCTCTTAAAGAGACTTTAAGAAAAAAAGTCCATGCTCATCGAGCACAATATTACGGAGTATCTCTCTTTAAATAACCGTAATATGCAATTTTATCCATCTTCTCGACGTGTTTTAGTGAATATTTATAACGAAGAAAGGAGGAAGCAGCTAATTTGATTTCTAAAACATAAACTGTATTAAAACGAGACTACTTCGGAGCACGTGATGAATAAATGTAAAAACTTATTATTCTTAAACCTATTTTTGCTTTATTTTTCTCAGACTATATTCTCATGAATATATGTATATAATAAATTCAAATAATTTTCCAGATAGCTATTACATCATGTATTTTAAAGAAAAGTGCTATTTTGAATAAAACCTACTATAGCATTAGTGTAAACGATTTTCTTTTGACAAAGAGCTAAAACGCGCGCGCGATGCATTTGAAAATTTGATTTCTTCTCCAAAAAAGCGAGGGAATCCGGTACGACGAGCGAAACTTTTGTGTGGGTCGCATAGAATAAGGTTTTTCCTTCTTCAGGATGCTCAGTTGAATGCAGCGTCTCCCATTCTTCGATTAACCAGAGCAGGGGAAACGGCCTGGGGACCACTTCCTGGCGGTGACTGGACTATTTTTCAGGCCAATCACAGCACCTACGAGCCGCTAGCTTGGGCGCACCGAGACAGCCTCGACTATCCGGCCAACAAAAGTCCCCTAGCCACCGTCATCCAGGTGAGTCGTGCACTTTGCTTGTCGGACATTCCGGTCACGTATCTCTTCTCGGACAAGTCGGACGACTGCGGAATTAATGCACCGTCTCGCGCGTCCATACGTATTACCCTTTGGCGATGGAGTCGAAACGTTTAAATTATTTTCTTCCTCGCGTACTGGACTTAACACGTTGCTGCGTTAAAAATTTAAGTAAGGAAATACAAAGCTACATGAATTTTTTGATTAATCTTAAGGATAAGACATTTTTCGCGGCAAACATCAGGGGAAAACCGTTGAATTTATATCTCGCATATTAAATCAAAAGTTATACCATCTTTGAACAAGAGCTTTGAGAAGGTCCCCATTGGTTTCCACGTAGGAAATTATACATAAAGCTTTCAGAGCATCTTTTGGGAATCCCTTATTAACTCACGCAGCGCTTCGTGCACTTGGCTCTTATCTTCTCGGATACATGGATGATTTCAAAAAATAAAAATGCACAAATCTTCGCGACACGAAACTTCATCTTAAAAGGATGCACAAATCCCCGTGGAAATGGTAGGGAAGAGAAAAAGAATATGAACAACTCGCCAAGTATATAATTGCACTCGACGTTTATCGCATATGAAACAAAGTTTCTCGAAAAATTTGTAAATTTCAAGAGAGCTCATCCTATTATTTCATCATAACATTTAGTAAATTTAAAATATTAATATATTTTATAATATATTAATTTTTTTATAATAATGATATTAATTTTTGAAACATGACACGAATGATATTGCAGTTTGATAACTTTTAATGATGAGTCTTTACATCACTAATAAACTTAAAATATTCAGCAAGTGACATCGTTATGAAGCAAGTTTAAGACGCATCGTTTACGCACTTATTAAAGATTTTCTGTTTCTTACGCGAGAAAAAAAGACCTCTTGTTACCAAGCGTCTTCAAAGGGTAGTTTCTCACTCTTATGGTTTCCGATAGCGACACTGGAAAAGAAAGCCGAAACGAGAAATTTCTCGGGTACACCACTTCACTTTGCGGTTGTATGTAACGAAGGGAAGAAAAGAAGAAAGGCGACTGGAAAACAAGAAGCTGAATGACTGTGTAAGATTCGCCGGCTCGCAAGGAATAGAACAAAAGAAGGGTTTAAAACAATACGTACAAAATGATTTCATCGCACGCTTGTATCAGTGAGAATAATCTTGTCGAGGAGAGAGAAATCTACAGATTCTCTCGGATGTCAATAAGAAGCACGAGCGAGTTTCATTCTTTTCTTACATTAGCTTTTAGCTTGATGTGATAAGATTTACACACATTTCGACAAGTGAATAATTGCCAAATTTTATCATTATCTAAAAATAACTTTGTGTGCGCATTTTCTCTTTATTCTATTCCATATTGATAAAATTTAAATCTAACATATTTACACTTTGATAAAAAGATATTTCCAAGATACTTCCAGAATATATCTTTTATACATTTTCTTCAATCGCTTCCTAATCAATTGTAATTTTTTATAAATAAATCAAATGGAAACATTAAAGGAAGATAAGGGGATTATAAACAAATTATTTTATTAATTCTAAATTATACTATATTACTTTATCTGGATTTATCTCTCTTTTTTTGTACTCATAAAGATTTTCTCACCATTTTATGAAAACATTTTTTAGCTGTGCTTACTACTAATTAATTTCATATTAATCGCGAATATGCACGTATCTCTCTCATTCACCTTCCTGAATTTTTCCTTTCCGCCGTTTCTCTCATCCTGGCGATCCTTCCTGGTCTGCCAGCGGCGCCGGAAAACGAAAACAAATGTGGAATTTCCGCGATACGGCTCGTAGCTACGTATACGAAGGTGAAGTAAAGAGAAAGAGAAAGAAAGAGAAAGGAATGAAGGTACGAGAAAGAGGAGACAAAAAAGAAGAATAGAAAGGATTCGCCGTTGGCGGAGGTAAACTGAAACAATTCGTAAAGCCGTCTCGGCCGGCGTTTACATTCGTGCAGGAATTCGCAACTGCAAGATTCCGGACGTAACGGAAGAAAATGAGAGAGAAAGGAAGAAAGAGAAATGGAATGACGGTGGTGCGTGAAAAACGCGAGAAGAGAACGCCGAATGACCAAACTGTAAATGATATAAAGAAAACGGCACTCATCCGAACAGACATGCGCGAGATATAGCGTCCAATATAGCGAAGAGCGCGAATATATGCTGTATCGTTCATGTTTTGCTGTCCCGGTGCAATATTTTTCCACCAAGCACATTTCACATTCGACCACTTTGTCTCTGTACCAGCAACTGTGAGATATGCGTGGAGTTTTTTGTCAGCTTTTCCGTTTTTCTGAAAAATCAATTGACAGCGCATCTATTTAATTTTATGCCGACTCGACTGTCTTTTAAAGGTAAAAAGGCACTGTCAATTTTTCTCTCATATTTAAAAGTTCAGAAGAAATCACGAGAATTTAGAATTTTATAGTTCAGAATATACTGATGCAATGAAAATATTTTTGTTAATTGGAGACTGGTTCATTAAGCAACGGATGCAAATTTTGAATCGCGCTGAATTAAAACAGTAAAATTCTATGATGAAAATGCCTCGCAGCACGTGAATAAATTGAATTTTCCCATTACGTAGCAAAGCTATTGTGTGTGACAGCACAAAAATGATCTCTGTCGAATAAATTCTTTATTTAATTAGAAGTTGAATTTCACCTATATTAATAATAATAATAACTTAAAAAGAAAGATCTCGACACCTTCCATCGTGACAATACCCACAATTCGATATACTTTAGCGCTTCACATTCGCGATTGTTCGAAAATTTCCCGATTGTCTGTGCTCGTCATTCTCTGTCGTGTCGTCGGTGCTCTTAACGTTCGATCTGTTCAATCCCCGAAAGGAAATAAATTGGCGGTTCCAATGGTAGCAAATGAAGCGCACCGCACAGTCGCTCATTAATCGAATGAACCTACGGCTAATTGGTTCCTGATTTAATCACTTGGCTACCTGCACGATTCATGTATCTACCTCGACATGCACCCATCTCGCGTGATAGAATTATCCGTGAGATTATTATTGTTATTTACTGCTAACAAGCTTGCGATTCACAACCGATTCTGTGGAGTTGTCGGAGAGTTTCCATCAAACAATATAATTAACACATTGGATGTTTGCGATTATTGCTGTACTCGTTCATTGTGAGAAAAATAAAAATAACGATATTTATTAACGCCCGATGATTAAATTGATGCATGCCATCATGAAAAATTCTAACATATTTAGTTGAAACGTTAACTAACAATAAGAATAGGTTATTCCACGTTGCAGCAATATAATTAGAAGAAATTAATCATAATTAGATATCAACTGCGTTGTCAGATATTCTTATTTATGTAGTCACAGGATATATTTATGTACAACGAGGCAGATATTTATGAATCATCAAAAACTATACGCACATATATATAATGTGATAGATTAACTAATAACATTTTTTATCCTTGAAAAAGAGGTTTCAGTTTATAAAATGTATTTATTTAACAGGACCATGGCAGATACGATGGAATTCAAAGAGTTCTTTTCGGCGGTGGCCTCAGATTTTGGCTGCACAAACTGTTACTGCTGGACTCGTTGTCTTATTTATCGCACGGACAATTAAGTCTCAGTTTGAATCGTATGATCCTAGTGGACATTGACGATATATTCGTCGGCGAAAAAGGTACCAGATTAAAAAAAGACGATGTAATGGCATTGTTGGCCACTCAGCAAAGAATTCAAGCTCTAGTGCCGGGGTTCAAATTCAATTTGGGGTTTTCCGGGAAGTATTTTCATCACGGGACAGCGGAGGAGAATTTGGGGGACGACATGCTTTTGGAGAACGTAGACAGGTATGATAAAACCGAATATTAGTCACTTAAATAATAAATGCGGTAAATATTACGTTACAGAGATTTTAACCAATTGAGTATTATATTAATATCATTAATTATATCTGTGCATTTTAAAATTAATTTTATTAATCTGCTTTATAGTATTAGCAAGTACATTTATTGATTAAATTTATTGTTATAAAATATATAAACATATAATCTGTTATATATATATATATATATATATATATATATATGTATATATAAGCTAAATTTAAATTTACGACCTCATCGACATCATAGTGCAGCTTTTATCGTATAATGTCACGCGACAGTTTATTATAATGCCGCCGTGATCGCCACGACAAAATATTACAAAGCCTCAATGTAGATTACCACAAGGTAATTAATCGCGGTCATCGACATTGAATAAAAAAAAGAATTTTTTAAACGCTTTGAAAAATCATTTTTTATGCATCAATATAGTCAGTAAAAATAATTGTTAAAAAATCTCGCGGGCTTTTAGATTTACGTGGTTTTCCCACATGTGGAATCACCAACAACCGCATCTATACGAGAATGTAACTCATCTACAATTGGACATGGCGTTGAACAAGCAATTCGCAAAGGACCACGGTATACCGACCGGAAGCGGATACAGCGTAAGTCCGCATCACTCCGGCGTTTACCCGGTCCATGAAGGTCTCTACGAAGCGTGGAAACGAGTATGGAACATCAAGGTCACGAGCACCGAAGAGTATCCGCACCTGAGGCCGGCACGTTTGAGACGCGGCTTTATTCATCGTAACATAAAGGTATAAAATCACGTAAATCGGCAACAGTCATTAAATCATCTCTAAATCAAACATTATTGATAAATACAATATGATATGAGATATAATTTGCACACATGAATATATTGAAAATGTTATTTGTATTAACTGAGTGCCGTGTTGCGATTAAATATTGCTTTATCTCATAATTTTCAAAATATGAAAATCTCGATTTTATTGCCGGTTACAATTTACATACGTAAATATTAAATACGTAATCGATCATAAAATTCCGTCAATAATTAATTAGATATTTGTTTACTTACGGATATGAGAAACATGATTATATTTTAGGCAATATATAAATCAAACTCGTATGAAGATTTTTGCTCAAATTTAAAAAAAAATTTATTTTTACAATATAAATATAATTAACTTATATTTTCTATTTTATTAGATCTTCTGGCGTATATAGATTACAAATTCAATATTTATTGTCGGATATAAAATTGTTCATTTTGTATATATTCAAGGTTCTACCGAGGCAAACTTGCGGCCTTTTTACTCACACGATTTTTATCGAGAGATATCCAGGCGGAAGGGAAAAGCTGGACGAGTCGATACAGGGTGGTGAACTTTTTCAAACGATTGTATATAACCCGGTGAGTAAATCAACCGTGGAATCAATTTTTGTCGATTTCGTTTGATCTTTCATATCATATGTGCTCATCTTTTTAATCTTTATATATCCATGTGAATAAATTTCATTATTAATTTCATTCGACATGAAATATCTATTTTTTTAGTTTCTTTCTTTTTTTAATTTATTACATTATTATTACGATTTATTACATTTTTTAATATTTTATTACATTTATTAATATTTATTACATTTTTTAATATTTTATATATTTTCTTTTTTTAATATTATTAATATTATTATTTATAATGAGATATATTCAAAACTAGTGAAATTATTCTTGATTGCTTTTCTAGATAAATATTTTTATGACACATATGTCGAATTATGGAAACGATCGATTGGCATCATACACTTTCGAATCGGTTATAAAATTCATTCAGTGTTGGACAAACTTAAGACTATCCAGCGCACCGCCTCTCCAACTTGGGGAACGTTACTTTCAGTTATATCCCGAAGAGGCTGATCCAGTGTGGGGAGTGAGTAGATATTCAACAATTTTAATTGTGCTCTTCTACAACATCAAGTTTTTGATCTTTCTTACAGAATCCATGCGACGATCAGAGACACCAAAAAATCTGGTCTCGTAATAAAACTTGCGATCAATTGCCGCGATTTCTAGTAATCGGACCTCAAAAAACCGGCACCACGGCATTGTATACGTTTTTGTCTATTCATCCAGCAATAAGCAGCAATCTACCGAGTCCCGACACTTTTGAAGAGATACAGTTTTTCAATGGAAAGAATTATTACAAAGGTCTCGATTGGTAAGTGATACAGAAATTAATTGTGTATCTATTGTTAGATATAAAGAACAGAAATATAATTCGCATTATTTTTGTAGGTACATGAGCTTTTTTCCGGCATCGAAAAATGAGAGTTCTCGATATCTGTTTGAGAAATCTGCCACTTATTTCGATGGAGAATTAGTACCACGGAGGACTCATGCGCTTCTTCCGAGAGCTAAGCTAATCACTATATTGTTGTCTCCAGCTAGACGTGCTTATTCATGGTACCAGCATACCAGAGTGCACGGAGATCCGGTAGCGAACAATTACTCCTTCCATGAGGTCATTACAGCAAGCGATTCTGCACCGAAACCCTTACGGGACCTTAGAAATAGGTAATAATTGAACATGAACAATAACCTAAGAGATATTATATACCTAATAATGTATGAATATAATAGACGCTAATGATAGGCACTATTTATTAACTGAAACGAGCGGATAAGCATTAAGATTATGGATTTTCATACTCTATCTATATATGACATAAAATATTTAAAATTTAAAATAAAATATATTTTAAGTTAAATTTCAACATGATATTGCATTCAATTACAGATGTCTAAATCCCGGAAAATACGCCCAGCATTTAGAGAGGTGGTTGTCGTTTTATTTACCACAGCAATTGCACATCATCGATGGCGAACAGTTACGGCAAAATCCTGTGGAAACACTGCACGAATTGCAACGATTTTTGAAGATAACACCTGCGTTCAATTATTCCTCGCATCTGAGATACGATCCGAAAAAAGGTTTCTTCTGTCAAGTCACTAACGAAGATCGCACTAAATGTCTGGGAAAAAGTAAAGGTCGCCAGTATCCACCAATGGAAGATAGATCGTACAAATTATTACAGGTAAAATTCTTGTAAATTTATTTACAAGTTTATTTATTTTTTATTCGACATGCATATATAAAATAATGTGTGATATGTTTTAAACGTTATATCTTTTGTAGAGATATTATTTATCTCACAACACAGCTCTAGTGAAATTATTAAAGCGGCTTGGGTCCAGAACGATCCCACAGTGGCTGAAGGAAGATCTAACCGACACTGTGATGACCTAGCAAACGTCAATTACGTGAAACTCTAGTGTTTCCCGGCTGCTCGCTTCCGCTGTCAGCGAAATACATCGTTTGCTAATGGAAGACCTGTAAATTAATTGTACATTCAAAACTCTACTGGATTCTACATTTTCAAAAGAAGGACCATGACTGGCCTATCTCAGTGAACTGGCCTAATCTAATTGGAAGGAATTTACAAAAGCTAGTCATTAAGCGGCTCTACGAAGCCACATTGTAATTGTCGATCATTATTAAGCTAATATTATTAATAGATTATTTTTTTTATTTTATGACTATTATATTATTATCATCATTATCATCGTTACCGCATCGTACAGATAAGAAATCTTAAAAATACATAGTTTACTGGTGCCATTGCTCAGCAATTGTGATTAGGCACCTTTCGTCCTACTTACTGATGCATAAGTTGGGCCAAGAAAAAGTCGATTAATGCAATCGTTTTGCATTTGGCTTGAGATTTATTTTAAAAAAGTATATATATCTTACAAAAAATATCATGGATCCGTTTAGCAATTTTGATATAAACAAAAAATTTCATATAACAAAAGAAAAATATATCCTTATTAGAAATTTATAAAAAAATATCAAACTTGAGTAAATGAATTTTTACTACAATATCAAACGTATAATATATGTCTCTTATGTACAAAAATACTCTTCAACTTAAACACAATATTTTAGAAAATTAAAATTCGATTTCCTCAATGTTAGACTTGTCCACACACACACACACACACACACACACACACACACACACACAAATCATGTTTTGAGAAATATACTTTTCATGTGTAAAGATCATTGATGAATAGTACTGGTTGATTTCTTTATCAGGCGATTCATCGATTGTTCTTTCCGCATTAATCATCAAATCGTCCATGCGAGTGTAAGATTTCGGGACTGAGCTGTTTTCCTTGAGCCCATCAACTTTATTAGAAAATACAGTACATATGTTAATTCTCGATATGTATTTACAGTCGATGATGATGACGGTAATGACGAGATGTCTGTATATTTTGACAATACTATTCTTAGTATCGGCGATATGGAAAAGCCAACAAAAGATGTGATCGCGTCCGTTTGTATATTGATGTAACGCATTATTTTGACGTTAATATAAATGTATTATATGAACAAAAAGAATTTGAAACGGATCAAATCTGAGATGAATTTCAAAGTTTGTCGATCTCAGATGCGATGGCGAACGTACGTCCGCTTGCAATAATCAATGCTATCAGAGTTAAACTTGTGCGAATATTAGATTGATAAATGATTACTTGGAAAACTACGGAGATTACTTACTGACAAGTTATATATGGAATTATGCATATGTGAAGATTTTAAAATTTGTCGCGTATTGTACATTAATAAATCATGAATTTAAAAAGTGTTGTAAAGTATAGTATTAGGTCTGATCTTTCAGCTTAAGTCCAAATGATATGACGACTTTTCAAGATTGTTTATCAGCATATTTTTTTCACTTTCGATATGTGAATAAAATGCATACTCGTACATGCACATGCGTGCATTCTTGTGTGTATGTTGTGTGTATGTGTGCATATTTAATTGCTCGTTTTGGAGTGATATTCACGCAAAATATCTATTTTACCTCGAAAGAACATAGATTGAAAATTAATTTAACGAGATTTTGCTGATTGAGAAGAATGCTAATGAGATCTGATTTATATTGCATATATTTTTTTGTTATTTATTGATCACTTACACGTATATATTATCTCCAGCGCGAACTATATGTACAAATATTTTTAATAATACTGAATGTGTATCTGTGACTATTTATATTGTACATTATAAAGAGTTCTTGGAAAGAAGAGAGCTCAAGAATCTGAGAGATAGTTATCTGTATTATAACACCTGCTTGCCGCACTTTTTTATATTGAAAAGTGTATTAATATTGTATAGTCCATTAAGAAAAAGTCTTGGCCCAAGATTAGCAATCCATCAAGTGCAGAAAACATCTTTTGTTATAGTTTTAGTATTGCATCAGTTATTTTTTCTATTATGAATGGTTGATTGATATTCTGGTGATTTTATTTAATGATCTCTGCATTGGAGTTATGCATATGTGTGAATCATGTTATATTCAGATAATCTTCTATACATAAATCTTTTGTTACGTTTGTATGATTTGTTTTCATTTTTATACTGCCGTTAAAACTATGCCATAATGTTTAATAAATCATGTACAAAGATTATTATTAGTATTACAGTAGTTGTTAATAATAATGAAATAATATCAACTGATTGATCTGTTTTATCGAATCGTGCCATTTTAGCAATGTTGTATATATGATTATGATTATAACGTATCAATCATGTTGGATTTTTAGAGTCAATATCCTTAATTTTGTTCGGTATGGCGGTAGCAACGAATGTCCGGCTTGCTACTACCTGACAATAACCTGACGGCAAACAGAGGTAGATGATAACTCCGCGAAATTTAAGAATCGCACAAAAATATAAGCAGGGCCAATATCTAGCATTATCTCATCATTGATTTAATGTTTTGTATAGTCATTTTTCTTATTTTTCTATTTCACATATAAACTTTATGGTCTTTTTTTAATCTTTCTATTTTGTATCCCCTAATTTTGTTTTTTTTATTTTTCTATTTTCTGAAATTTCCATTATTATATTGATACATAATATGATTGAATGTAACATAATAGAATATATATCGTAATAAAATTATGTATAACATTAATATACGAATATTACCAAATTATATACATACACATATATATATATATATATATATATATATATATATATACACATACATATGTATATACATATATTATATATATTTTATATATATGTATATACATATTATACATATATTATATATATTTTATATATATGTATGTATATATATATATGTTAAAAATTTATAATAATATAAATACTAACATATATGTTTGTTTTGTCTTTTTTATTATACATTGTTCAAATAAATTAAGAATGTTTAGAATTTTACAGTTGTATATCAAATACTAATGATTATAATCAATGATGGCGTACTGCTAACTGCTTTCAAATTTCGTGAGTGCATCGTTTTGCGTATTAATAACGAGCATTCTGTAAATATTATGTTCCAATAGAAACTGTCATACAAGAAGAGAAATGCCATTGTTGTACGAATAAACAAAACTGCGTGTAGGATGAATGTATGATTCTAAGAAACAAGAACTTTAATTATTTAATTTATAATTATTCTATTGTAAAATATTGTAATAATTGTACGAATAGCTTATAAGTTCTAATAAAAGAAGCACTGAAAATCTTAGACTAGACAGTTTTGTAACAATGATACACATGTTGGAAAATACTATATAATACATTTTTTCTAGTATACATATACACTTCAAATCATATATATCTTAATTTTAATATAATTTTATTTATAATTATTTTATATGATACACTCTCGATTCTCTTTATTCTCTTTCAAGATACATCTGATATATATCTTTTGTTACTGTATATATTAATACCATCTTAAAGCTGGAACTAGAACAATTTAGATATTGCAGAAACGTTCTTACATGCGATACAATTTTCTCATCAAAGCTATGTGTAATATTCTCTGAATGATAGCTCTAAGGTATATAGCTTAGTCCTTTGATAATTTTACCACCATAACATTGTATGTAGATGTCTGCGCGCAACCAAATGTTACTAGAATAGTAAGGAATATGACTTTATGTTAATGAATTATTGTTGCAATATCCTTTGTGCATGTGTTCAAATTTGGTGTTTTTTCAAAGATAGTATCCTCATCGCAAGAGTCACTGGATGAAGAATCCACGTGTTTCGGTCCTAATACGACTTTCACATCTTCTTTGACAAATTCGTGATATAAGTTCGTTAGTTTTACAGTTCTCCGAAGTTGATAATTCGATTCATTCAAATCTCTCGATTTTGCAGTTCTCATATTTATATTTTCCGTCAAGATAGAACTTTTATCACCAACATTATGATCCTCAATTTTATATTGAGCGTTACTCTCTTTGATTTCAAACTCTTTTGAAATTTCCTCGTCTATTTCTTCAATAGGATCTAGAATACATTTTATTTCTTTTCCAAGAAATAATTGTCTTCTTCCGATTTCCAAAAGTTTGTTGTTAATCGATTCGCCAGTACCACCTCGATCCTCTATCGATACAGGTGCAGATCCAGACAAAGTATGAACTTGTCTTGCTTTCTTTACTCTTGTTTCTATAAATACATCATTTAATTTATTGAGGAAATTGCGAACTAATTATTGTTTACATATCTTAAAGCTACAATTTCGAAATCCTATTTTTAATTATTTTTAATTGTTTCTGCAACGGTTTTGAAATAATTATTAAAAAATAGTGTTTAAAAAAATACACAATAGAGAGAAAGAGAGAATCGAGTAATCGTGTGTAAATATTCTTAGGCAAATAATTGTAATTGTAAAAAGGCAAAATTGATGTCAAATAATCAAAGATAATGAAGAGAAATCTGAGTAACTTCAACCAACCTGGCACTTGAACCTTCATAACATTATCGTCAATTTTAACATTTGATTTACTCCCGGTAGGTCTTTCTTCTTCAAGTTTGTCTATCTTCGTCTGATACTTCCAAGATCTGGAACCTACATTTGGATGATGTTTCATACCGGAGATCGAACTCGGTTGCAGATAGAGGCATCCGCTCTCAGGAAAGAAGAGTCTCTGCAGAAATGATCTCGGCGGACCTCTATCAATGGCAGTATTAGCTCGTGTGTGGTTGAGACATTCTGATTTATTGCGAAGTATGCCACAGCATTCCAGCATGCCGAAGACTAGCAACATCGTCGTACCAACCAGAGTCAACAATGCGGCCAGACAAATTAATTGCCAGGAGAAATTCAACAATATCGTCACGATATCCTCGTCGGTGCGCGCGATGCAGAGAGGAGCCAATATACTACCGAGAATCGCGCAAACTAGATGTATAGCTATAATATTGCAGTAATCCTCCAAAGAGCTGCGAAAAATCTGTCTGGAGATCAAATAGAACGCGATACCTCCCAGACAACCCAAGGCAATAGCTATTTGCGGCGAGTAATCATTCGTTGCGGCTGATACTGTCACCACACCGACGATTGTGCCTTGAACGCATCTTATCATGGTCCAATGATTGAAGCTCTCTCGGGTCAATATGAAATGCAGGGCCACGATTAGCAACGTGCACGAGGATGCGGCTAGCAAATTGTTGACGTATGCGTGCGATGGATCCCGCGTATGTATTCGGAATTTGTCACGGTCGTACGTACTCGTGCATAAACCCTGTAAACGTGCGTGACATCATACATCACTGACTAGTACAGTTAATTTTTGTATGACTAGCAGTTTCTATTTATGTATGGAATTTAACGATCAACGCTTAGAAATCGTTACGAAAGATTTTTAAATTTAAGAATCGTGTCAATGAATTTGAAATCAGAGCTTTCTTAGAGTTTCGACAATGTTTTCTCGTCTATACTTTGTCCTCATATAATTATTTTCCATAATAAGTTTATTAAAAATGCGTTTTTATTTACAATTTCCAAGCTTCATTATTATAATAGACTCATTATTATAATAGACTCTATGAATTATCAAAAACAAAATATTTTTCATCACATCATCATGATAAGAAGTTATATTTATTTCTTATATGATAAGAAATTATATTTAATTCAGAGAGATATTTACTTGAAGTCCAGCCAATATTAATAGAAGACCCCCGAAAACGGTCCCTGCGGAACCGGCAGTAATACTCGCATCATCCAGATCTCCCAGTATAAGCATTCTCCTTCCGAGGATGACACATCCAATCAGACCAGAAAATCCCCCGACGACGTGAACTACTCCCGCGCCAGCGTAGTCCTTAAAAGTGACCGTTCTTCCACCCAATTCGTTCTTCGCCATCCATCCTTCGGCGGTCCAGGCCCAGTGGATCAACAACGGTTGTATCAGACCGGATAAGAGAATATTTACCAGCAGATATCCCACTGTGTGCATTCTGCCTACGATAGCGCTGGTGCAAATTGCCGACGCGATTACCACCGCTTGCCAACCGACGATTGCTTCATTCTTGTCAATTGTTGGATCCCCGATCCAGTAACCCTCGCCGATTAAACCAGCCATGTCGCCGTTGTAGGCAACGAGGAAGCCCGTAAGGAAGTACATGACGGTAACGCAACACAGGTCGATCACATTTTGAAGGAGTATCAGATTAACGTTGTTGACCGGTACGCTGCCAACTTGCACGAGGACGAACCCAATGCGTAACAGGATTGTCAAGACGAGGCGAATCAACGAATTCCAATGAAAGTGCGCCGGTGAAATGGTGGTGTAGTTGTTGAATGAAGGAAGCATGGCATAATCGTAATCGTCGTAAATATAGTCATCTCTGGTGACGGATGACATTCTTTCTTCTAGAAATCGAATCTTTCGTCTAGTCACGTTATCACATCGTTCACCATAGTTGAGGTAAGTCTCAAAGTTCTATACATATTCTATACATATATATAATATAATATTTGCTGAAAGGTTAATATAATTGATAAGAAACTTGAATGATGTGCTTATAGTTCGATTATCCGATGTTTTATTGAATCGATTAATGCTGAGAGATTTGATATTGTAGATATGATAGATCGTGTTGCTCGCACTTCCTCTCTCTCTTTTTAACGCTCAAACATATATTTATCTCGCTTTAAATGCAGAAATTTTTAAGATACGTAAGCAACACGAGTAAATGTAAAGACATGTAAACACGAGATTCGATTGAAATGGATGCACGTTCAATTTCGAAAAATTTTAATCGAAGTTAAATAACAATTTTTCTCAAACATAAAAATCACACAAATTTATATTCCTTAAAATATACAAAATATTAAAGTAAAAAAGGAAAGAAAAAATAATTACTCATCTAATTAACATTTAATTATCCTTTATGAAACAGCGTCACATAAGATTCTTTTATTTTCATACTTTTTATATAATACCACTGTTATATGTACATATATACACTATACTGTATTACGCGAGTCAAGATATTAATCGGAGGAATCGTTTTACGCATGAAAGTATTAATCTCGAGATATATCGATGATAAGATATCCGCGGATGCTGCACTGGGAGAAGATGATCTCCAGTCGCGTTTGAAATTTTCCAAATATACCGCGAACAGAGACCTCGATCCAATGCGCGTCGAGAGTGACGCGGCGCGCATGTCACGTCAGCTGGCCGCCGCAAGGTCGGGGTCCCGCTCGGGCTGGAGCGCGCGATGCCGCCCGTTAGCCGCGGGTAGCAGTTGCTCGAAGCCGGTCGCAGTTCGCGCTGGTCTGCCCGATTATCCGCGACGGTGGCAGACAGGTAGGTGTTGTTTTCCGTGACTCGTGAGAGAGAGAAAGAGAGAAGCGAACGGTGGTGTGAGCGATACGTCAAAGTGCCCAAGTTTTTCGACGCCGACGACGGAATGGCAGCGGTATCTTGCCGGGCGATATTCGTCGTGAGATGGTGCGAAATGAGCCGCGTGTTAACCGCCACGTCCTGCCTGGCCGCGACGAGAAGATACCGAAAGGTGAGTCTGTTGACATTAGACTACCGCAAGGTGCGACGCCTTCTTTCGTCCACGTTGCGATGATAGCGCTTCGGCGATTTCGTTGACATTTTTTTCGTTCGGAACATTCCGGATATAAATGATGAGTATTCCTGGTTTGGATAGAAGCGTGCAAGTATTATCTTGAGGTCGTTGTCGTTTATTTCGTTTGCATATATTTATACAATTACGCCGGATTGATATATCGGGGCTCAGGTGTCCCGCTCCTAGCTGTTATAATGTATACAATGTGTGTGTTCCTCGGTGCCTCGGTATCCTGCTTCTCCCACTCTCATTCAAACGAGCGTATCACTCTTCGATATGAGTCCCTCCTCCTGTTTACGCGTGCAACTATTTACGGGCTTTTTATCGCACACGCATCTTCCGAACATGCAATGCCTTTAACGACACCGTATTTCTCTCGAGAAGGTCTACAAATTCTTACAATGCTAGTAAAACCGGTATTTGTAGAGAGATAAGATCACGAGTCAAATAGAACAAAGAATGGTCCACAAATGCTTTAAAAAAAATCTTATTTCTTTTACACTCGTTCGAAACCTATTTGTTCGTAGAAAAGATGAGAGAGAGAGAGAGAAATCAAATTAAATAATTACATTATATAATAATATTTAATAGGACTTATAGAAATGTTTGGGTCTTAATTAATAATTACTAATTATTCATTAATCCATATCTTATCGTATCTAATATTTATTGTAATTATGTACATAATGATTTTAAATAGTTTTATAATCAGAGATACTTAAAAGATACGAACATGATAACATAATGTATAAATAAATATATGTGTGTATTATATGTTCTTTCTGTACAATTAATAAACGAGACACAATTAATAAATGAGACACTCGTGTATACCAAGAAAAATTGACTCTGTTTTTTTTACTCTATCATCAAGTTTATAGTAAAAAAATATTTGAGAAACTTTTATATTTTTTTAAAAGACTTTTATATTTTTCTGAAAACCTTTTATATTTAAACTTTTATATTTCACTTTTATATTTTTTCTAAAAGAGCTTTTCCAAGATTATTGTTATTCAACATCCAATTTAAAAGATATTTCTTATACTCTTCGTTGCAAATACACGCATACTAATTACAGACAGAGATATGAAAAGATACTTTTTTCCAAAAAGAAAATGGAATAAAAATTTAAAAGAAGTCGTTTTCTTATAAAAATATACCGCTTGTAAAAATATTATGCCTGTAAATATTGAAATTATTCAAATCATATTCAAATCATTTTTATATTAACAATATAAAGAAAATAATCCTGTAAATCCTCAATTGATTATTATTTTTCGAGCTCTTAAATTATAAGAAATATCGCATGTAAAATTTTATAATATAACGTTATCATTCTTTTACTGTAAGGAACATATATGTGGTTACGAGATAAAATATAAAAAACACATACACACGCGCACGCACACACGCATCTCGCGCATGTGTTCATGCGTTCTCGTCTTGCGCAGATTACATCTGCAGTATATCGGCATTAACCAGCATCTAGTAATTGCGAAATGAAATAATGCGGAAGATAAAATACTGCAATTTTTCCATTTTTCATCATATTTTACATATTTTTTTATAATATGAATATATATTTCGGTCTTGTTAGTATATACACGTATTATATCTCAATATTCATGTGATATTTTTTTTATAATCATATAATACAATTATAAAACATACATTTATAAAATGAATATGGTTTATTTAAATACTTATAATAAATACAATTTTTCTGAAATATATATAAAATATAATTTTTCTCTCTCTTTAATATATATATTACGAAATTAATTAAAATAATATCAAATATAGTGTAATATATTAAATGTTATTTTTGTATGAATTTATTAAATGTTAATTTTTTTACCCAACTGTAAACTCATGATCTCTTTCCAGCAATTACTTTCGGAACTAAATGACAGAATTCCAATTTTTAACATTTCGCGAATAGTGAGTTTTGAATGAAGCTATCCAATTAATGGAACGTGTGACAAGCAAAACTGCTTTGGTTCTTATGCTCATTACAATTTTATAATTTTGTCGGTTTCCGATAAATTTTCCAAGCACGTTGCACATTGCATTTTTGATACAAAAGTGAATTACTATTATCCGAGTTTCCGAGTCCATTTCCCGCACTGTCATCGGGTAGAGAAACATTTTCCAGGTACAAACTAGGTCCATATCTATACATATATGCATCAAATACAGTGTGTAGCACTTTAGCAACATCCATATAATGATATTTCATCTAGCTAATAGCGACATTTCACTGTTCGCCTCGGTGCACATGCGCGTATATTAAAATGCATAACCAGAAAATTGCCACGACTAAATGGGTAAGAAAATAAAATAATGGACAATATAGGACAATCGTATGTCGTATTTCTGAGGATATTACTATTTAATTATGATAATAAATACATGCCACTGGTGAGAAATCTAAACTCTATTATATAATTCACAAGTATGTAATAAGCGTGTACAATTTGCGAGCAATATCTATTCTCTAAAATACAATTGTTTCTTAAATGACTAACTGAATATATAGAAATAGAATTACAATAATAATATAAATTAATTACATAAAATTTATATAGATTTTAAAATAAATGAAATAAAATAAAGAATGAGTTAAATTGAAAATTAAATTTATGAAAAATGTAATGGCGAGAAATTCAATGTATGTAACATACATTGCATATGAGAAGTATGAATTGTTTCCCATTTTTTTAATGATTTTCAAATAATGCAATAAAATACATTAAAAATAATAAATGTGGACTAAAATATAGAGTTTAAAAAAAAATATTTGATATTTGAATACAAGCTAAAAATTTTTTGCTTTCCACATAGTCAATTTGAATTTCTAACAGTAATCTGGCCAAGATCCAGAACCCTGCAAATGAAGTCCTATAACTCTCGAAAATATATCCCAAGATCGCGAAGCATAAAGGTACTTCACAGCCGCTTATATGCATCGGTAACGTGCTATGTCTGTATGTCACATTTCTCGGTTAAATGTCAAGGGAGATAAATCTGTCGCTGGTATCTCGATGTCTCTCTCTATGCGGCACATTCATAAATATTCAGTATTACACCGAAAATACGTCGCATTCTTTAATGTTACTACTTCGATCGCGAAAATATTTTTCGTTCTCTTCGTCGATAGGCGACCTTGTAAAAGCGATATCTTAGAATAGCTATGAGATTTTCAGGAAATTAATTTTTAACATTTGAACAGACTTAAAATCTTACGTATGATTTTTATTCAAATATTCTCCAAATCATCGTGCCATAAATTCAATTGATTTTTATATCATAAGATTGATATGTGATCGACTTGAAAACGGTTTTTCAATTCAACAAATTCAGTCTTGTAGAGCTCGAATTTAATATTAAACAAATTTTTTAAATTTAGGAAATTTTTAATTATTATAGATTTTAAAAATATAAATAAAGATATTTAATATTTTATTTATCTCTCTTTACTGTACTGTGAAATAATCCAAGAGAGAATCATACAATATTGATTCAGTATATATTAAGTCGAAGTAAAATTGATAAATATACATAAAATACAATATAAATTCATTTGTCTTGTTCATGCTTTATATAATTTAATAAAAAAATTATAATGATTAACAACAAGAAGTGATTCTGTACTTCTGTTCTTATTTCTTGTTCTTTACTAAAGATATTAAATGATATCCGTATTACAAGAAAGATTATTCGAAGAAAGCACGCAATATCAGCACATCATTATCAAGTTTTTGCACCGTAGAATGTATAAAAGCTGTGTAGAATGCAAATCTGCGAAAAATGAATATGAATGATTTATCGTACATATATGTATATATATATAATTTGATGTTTCATCTTGTAGCCGTTATATGCGTCATCATAATAAAAACTTGATTATATTTTTACTCATCTAGTCGGTATTTCATTGGAACACCGCGAATTTTTTTTCTCGTAATCTCACTACACGCTACCTGACATTTCACAACAATTACGCGTGACTATTCTTTGGAGAAAATGCATTCTCTCTTGGATTATTTCACGCAAAGAGAAATAAATGAAATGAGAAATGAAATGAAATAGATAAAATTTAATTGATAGCGCATGACCTGATTACCTTACAATCAATTTATTTTTTCATTTCAGAAAAAATTTCGTCCGTTCCGAATTTGTACTACGATACGTTTCAAATTGTTATTAAACCAGATGAACCGTAGCACTCACACAATACTGCGCAATATTTGATATGACAGTCGCAAAAAGCGTGAGGCAATTTTCGCCACTGGATCTTCTGTCAATCCGTTCTCGTTGATAACGTTCTCGTTCATGGAGAACAACTGTTGTCAGATGATCGAGAAATTGTTGACTCATCCAAGTGACAGACGTGTTCAAAGACGTTGACGTGACGGACATCATATGTGATGCCGTTGACGCCAGCAAATATATAGACGAGGATTATCGATCCATTATCGAGTTAGTTTGATTTTTCACAAATTGACTGCATTTTAAATATAAATTTATAGATTCTTAGAGCATCTAAAATACGAAATATATAAAAATATGTTGACAAGATACACATTTATTACGAGTTTGCGGCAATTACATGATAGTTTTACATATATATTTATAATATATTAATTGAACAATTAATGAAGTGTAATCAGTTCATTGAATTAGTTTATTAAACAATGAATAGCCAATAATAATATCGGCTTTAACATATTAGTGCATGATATTATTAAATAGAGAGAGAGTTATTCTATAAATTATCAGTTAACAAATTAATTTGTAAATAAAAATTAAAATATTTTAATAATATTACATTTATAATTGTTGGGATACAGTTAGATAATCATATATATTAATATCAAGTTTATTCAATGCTGTCATTGAATAAACTTGCATTATATAATATCAAAAAAAGTTAT